CCTCATCCTGAAGGGAGATAAAGAGTCAAAATGTTTAAGCACTCATATGGCTCATCCAACCAAGAACACACTTGCGTGGGGCAGAAGTGCCAGAAGTCCAGGCTCAGACTGCACACCATTGATCCCTGGCACCAAACGCTGACAAACTAGTTAATATCTAAACCAGAGTCGTGTCCCAGCATGAGTCAGATGAAACGTCCTTATCTGATCCCAGCCTGGCACCACACAGTGACAGTGGTTCTTGCCCAACCTGCAAACCTGATAGCGTTGCACACCTACGTCCTGCCTCAACTACACAAGCCCCTAACAGGACGTCATCCTTCCTTCTTCCGAAGACACTCCACTAGAGACGGGCTCGGATCTCTGCAGACAGGTAGTAGCACTGTGCCAGATCTCGGTGTCAACTTACATATTACGGCTAAGCCAATCTAACAGCTCAGCACACTAGAAGATCTCCCTCTACCCCTGAATTCTCTTGTGCATCCCTTGTCTTGTCCCTGCTGTTACCTAGGTGATTCCATTCACTGGATTGCTCGTTTACCAAGTCAATTCAACTCATTAACCAACATAAAACTACTTCCTTTATTTCCCCTTGGTTAGGTTAGCTATCTACCAGGTAGTGAGCCAAGGAGACTCAAGAAAGTTCTGATTAGGCTAGAGACAGCAGAAGACAGAAGCAGGCAGCTCAGTGAGAAGGAAGAGGACTTTCCAATTCTGGCAGCACTGGACTGATAGATCAATGTGGCTGCACGATGTAGTTTCACCCTCGGAGAGGCTGTAGGCTAGCCTGTAGCTCCCATAATGTTCCTGAAACCCACACCAAGCACAAGGGATCGAAGCTGTTTTTCCCCCACACCTTTCCTAAGCAGCACAGGCTGAGATCGCACTGTGATCTCACATAGGCTTACGCAAACATAAGCAGGTTGTTTTGCTGCCGCTGCCCATAATCAGCTTGCCAGTTCTGTGTGCCCAGGAGCCAGACCCAGGAGCTCTACTGCCATTTGGGACAGCAAAAGGAAAGAGCTGGCATATGCCCTGGACTCCAAAGTCCCACCCAAAGCCCTCTGACTCACTATGTTGCTGTGGTGAGCCTTAGTCATGAGCAGCATGCGGCCAACGAGGTCGGTAGTGGACACACCTTGGGTGCGTTTACATTCCCTGCAGGGAGACAAGCAAAGGATGAAGCAGAAGCCACTGGAGTGTACGCCTCTTTCTCTTCCCACCATTACCACAGGAACACCTGTGACACCTGATAAATCCAAACCAGGAGGGACAGTCCTGAGAAAGTCTTCCTTCTGCCTGCTCTTGATATAAACTACAGTGTTAATTTGCTGAGCCTCTGCATCTTCTTCACACCACAGCAACTGCTCATATGAGGAAAACTTACCTTGCACAGACTTCCCAACAGAGCTAACTCCCAGTGAGGCTTCAAGACCAGAACTAGCATCTGCCAGGAACGGGAAGCCCCTGCCAGTCAGTTGCTAGTCTGCAACACTTCCTGGAAGCCAAAATGGTCAAAGCAACTGAGGCTCTGACACACGTTACAGCAAAATTAAAGCCTGACCTGAATAGAGCTGTGTTTCACCTGACTTCCCTTCAGGGCATGAACTCACAGAAACTCTGCCCAAGAGAGGATACGAAGGTAAACAGCAATGGGTTACCTGTATCGCCCCGCTGTCTTCACTTCCTCATAGGTATCCTTGCCATCTATCGTTAAGGTGATGTCATCTGCAGAGAGAAAAAAGCCTCAGAACTGCACCCCAAACCTTCCTGCACGAGAGCTGGTTTAGAACAACAGTAGTAGCTGAACAGGTCCAGCACTTCAGCCAGAGTCGAACTCCTGCAATCGGAATCCCTGTGCACACAGGTGGGATCCATCCTGCATCCCACAGAAATGTCAGGGGCTTGCACGACTACCCTGTCTGTGGAGATAAGCATGTTCCTGGATGCAAAACACCATTAACTATCTGGTCCAGCGTTTTTTTACATAGTCCAGAAAATCTGAGCCGTCTGCCCTTGCAGTGAATCAAGCAGCAAGGACGACTGAATTATTGTCTGAATGACAGTAAACAGCAGTATTAAAAAGCAGCTTAACTTCTTTAGGACTGGGTTTAGCCAGTTGGTTCATGACACAACTTTTTCAGTCAATTAAACAGTCCTCCAGCAGCCAGTTGTTCCCCTCAGTGATGGCACTTCTACAGTGACACAAAGCTGCTCTCCTACAGAGTTAATTTCGGTTCTGCTTTGGCATGGTTCCTAACCCTACCTACAAAAACACCTCTCACCTACTTTTAGCGATAGCGTAAAATCTTCACAAGTGAAAACCTAAGATGGCTTTCACCTGGCAGAACAGCCAGTTTACAGTGCCGGCGCTGGTGCTCAGACGCGCTCCGTCTCACGCAGTCGGGCTCAGGGAGGCCGAGCAGTTCTCAAACCCACACCCCCACCTGAGGGCACCGGGACAGGAGAGGAGAACGCGCTGCAGGCGCAGCTCTGCGTGTCAGGAGAGAGGCAGAAAGCCGGTTTGCTGCCTGTCACCTTCCCAGTTAAGCTCAGCTATTTCAAAACTTATCTTATCTTTTGCACAAATGCAGCCTGACAACAGTGCAGCGTGCAAGGGTATTATTCAGGTAGAAGTACTGAATGATTTGGCAGGGGGGATAAACACAGGGAAACTGGAGCAAAGGCCACGAGCACTTCTCTGTTGCCATAATCCCTCACCAAGTCTAGTAAGGGATCACGTGCCCCAGACACGTTCAGGGCAGGCAATTAAGTTAGCAAGGAGTTCGATAATCGCCCTGTCCACGTGAAAAAGCATATCTATCTTATCGAAGATTAATGATTTCTTTACATTTAATTAGATACTTGGCTCATCGATAGGAGGGATCAGAGGAGGAAGGATACGCCAAATGAGTGCAAAGAGTACTCCTGATTAAAGGAACAAAATACCTTCAGAGGGGTAGGGAGGAGGGGCTGAGGCTGAATGAACACGAGAAGCCGTCCCAGTAAGGGACAGAGTACAAAAGCAAGAACGTTTCCTCAGAACACTACTTCTCTTCAGTGACTGTAAACTGAAAAGTGTTCACAGTAAGAACTAGGTCTCTGACCACAGGGTCAGCTAAGCCCTTGAACAGCTTATCATCTGGATAAAGAGAGAGAAGCTTTTCAGATCTGATCTCATCCCAGATAAGCAGATATAAACATGACTGTATTTCTGCACGCTTACCTTTTAAACAGTGTTTTTCCCATAAAAAGTTTTGCAAATGACTTTTTCCCCCCTGCACAAACTTCTGTTTGTGCTAAGGACAACCTCAGGACAATTGTCAGACAACACGTTTCTCCTTTGTAAGTGTAAGGGATGCTTAAAACCAAGGGATCTGGCCAGCAGGGTGCTGAGCACACAGACGTGTGTCTCCAGAATACCAGAACAGGAGTGGCTGTCCTGCCCAGCGCAGGTGTTGATGTGGCAGACCTCTGTACACCAGGTACCTGCTGATGGCCAGTGTTGGCCAGATCATTCCTGGGTTTGCAGCAGGGAAATGAAGAGCACACAAGCCCCAGAGGGCCTGCGTCGCCTCAGAATACTACTCACCACCATGCACACAGAAGTCACAGTTATATTTGTCCAGAGTTTCCAGTGTGGTGACATAGGGAGCTCCTGGAGCAATCTCATCCACCCACTTGATGGCTTGGACCATTTTGTACCTCTCCTCCTGTGTAAAGACAGGGGGGCCCTTGTGCTTCGCAATCTCCTCTGGGCGAGAAACAGAAAAACCCGGTTAGAAGCATGTACTACAGCTATGAAGACATCACCTACAGGAGCCTCAGCCATTTCATGGGTAGGTGAACTTCACTGCGGACCTAAACTCAGCTTGGAACTGGTTTGTGGCAGAGAAGGAAGCCCCTGCTAGATCAGAAGATATTTTAATTCAGTTGCATTTCCTAAGTGGACAAGGGCCCTGGAATTCTTTCAGAAGGCAAAAGCTCTCAGTGCCTCCCTGCACCCAGAGGCTTCCTACTGGGGGGACTACCTGGGCCTCCTGGCAGCCCCCGAGGGGAAGGTCCCCCTTTAAACAATGGCTTCATGCTACGCTCAGTTCATGCTAGAAAATATGCATCCATAAACCAATTTAAAAATCCATCTTCACATTCGAGAACCAGTTCCTAGCGCTTAACCCTCATGCTCTGGGAAGACCTTAGAGCCCCTTCCAGTGCCTGAAGGGGCTCCAGGAAGCTGGGGAGGGACTCTGGATCAGGGAGGGGAGCCATAGGATGAGGGGGAACCGTTTTAAACTGGAAGAGGGGAGATTTAGATGAGACACCAGAAAGAAATTCTTGACTTGTGAGGGTGATAAGGCACTGGCGCAGGTAGCCCCGAGAAGCTGTGGCTGCCCCATCCCTGGAGGTGTTCAAGGCCAGGTCGGACGGGGCCTGGAGCAACCTGGGCTGGGGGGAGGTGTCCCTGCCCAGGGCAGGGTAAGCTTTAAGGTCACTGGGTGAGCTTTAAGGTCCCTTCCCACCCAAACCATTCCATGACCCTTTAGGCTTGAAACAAGTTTTCTCCACGCAGTATTTGTTTTGGAGTATCAGTTCTGCAGTTTGAACCACCAAACCAGACTGATTTTCAACTGTTTCAATTGTTGTTATGGCACAGAAGACAGATGGCCCCTCAAATGCAGCCTGAAAAGCTCTAAAGTGCCCAACTCTCGCTCCAGAGAAGGGGAAGGGGTAACGGCCCCCCTCAGCCAGGGCAGACACACTTTGGAGGCTGTGCTCCGCGAGAGGCAGGAAGGAGCCTGCTTTGCACCAGGAGAGCTCGGTTCTCTCGGGGTTAGCGTTGCCGGGCCGTTCTAGAGGCAGCACGAGGTGAAAAGCTGAGAAAACCTCTTACCATCCGTGTGGACGCCAACAATCAGATAATCTCCCATGGCCCGAGCCTGGCGCAGCTGGTTGGAGTGGCCATAGTGCACCATGTCATAGCTAGAAAGACAACGGCGCCTTCAGTCCAGGCACGGCGTGCGCTCTGCCGGGCACCGCGGGAGGCGACGGCGGCAGCCCGGCCGGGACACCCCCCCGGGGCTCCGCGGTTTAACGTCCCACTGCCGCGGCGCGACGACAGCCGCCGCCGGGGGAGGCGGCAGCGCTCCCTCG